GGGGGGGGGGGGGGATATAAAAAGGGGATAAACGTTATCGGCGTGACTGGACGTAAGGATCTACCTCGGGATTGCCGACCACAACAGAGCAGAACCGTACAAGACACGCGCGATTGTCTCGGTACGAGATGAAACTAGCCAAATGAAACTCACTGGCTAGTCATTCCATGTTAAAAAAAAAATTGCAAAAATAAATTGACATGATGAAAACACTGGAATGCTTACCGCTGTATAATCGAGGGAGAGTTTAGAGTCGATTTTTCTTCTACATGACATTTTTCAACTGGTTATCGTCGACTCATCGATCTGTAGATTATTATTATCAAATAAATTTCAAGTTCACATCAGCCAATCTTTTGTTCCACTGAATGGATCAACATCTTTCATAGGGAGTTGATTACGTAATGATTATTAATACATGAACAACACTCACTGCGAGAATAAGGAAAATATCTTCAAATGAGAATTATGTTTTGGACGACTCAGTTGACGAGGTGACGATTTTAGGCAACTACTGGGACAAAATGGCGATTTTTCTTCATTTTTCAAGCTCAATTCAACTGAAGAGTCAATTTTTTGATCAATATCTCCATTAGAGCTGACAATATTGAGCAAAAAAATTGATTAATTTTCCTATGAAATGAAATCAACCTTGTTTTACGCCTTCACCACCAACTGAGGTCTCCGGAAATGACGAAAAATTTGCTGAACCCGAGAAACTTCTTCCCTCAAGCGAGGAAGAATTCACAAACCCGTCTCAGCTGCGACTGACTCGTATCTCGAGGCGCGGCGTTTCCAGGCTGATAATAATCATCAACGATAATGAAAATGTTAAGAGTTCCAACTTGATTCCGCCTCATCAAGTGGCAAATTCACCGGTTGATGTACCAATGAGCGATAAAAACTACTGACAATCGGCTCATAATTATAAATTAATACCATGAGAGAAAAAATTACTTCCATTACCAAATAAATTGATTTGTGGTGAATTAAACATTGGATTTAAAATTTTGGTGGCCCATATATTTTCAAAATATGTAAAATAAAATTTTTTCTCTCAATGTATGTACTTCTAACAGCCGAAAGGTGCACGGTAACGCGACGAGTGTCTGCAGGCGACTGAAGGCTTTCCCAAGAAGCCGCACAAACTTCTATTTACAATTGTTGGAGCAACCCAGCGAACCAGTCGGGGCATTCTGACTTCCGGTTTTAACAACAGACCAGAAAAACATTAACCGCACATCCCACTCGTAATGACGTCATAAGTCACAACTATGGGACAATTACTGTGACCCGGAGGATTGGAAAACTGTTCCTCATCGTAATGTCACTCCTACGAGTTGTGAAAATAAATGGAGAACAGTATCAATGAGACCTCGTGATATTTATCACGGGAGAACACCTCTTTGCATTCAATGTTCTTATTTTAGATACAACACATGTCAGAGAGTCTGACAAACCGTCAAGTGACGGAACAAAAAAAGGTAATCGATAAAACATCCGATAAGGACTGGTAGTGCTTGCGCCATGGAGTATCTCCTGATCAGCGATCAATTTTTCGTGTTCCCCGGGGGCGGCTTGAAGATAAAATGAGCCGTTTTGCCCCAGTGGATTTCCACACATCGTAGAATTGATTAATTCCACCGAGTAAGAAGTAAAATGTCAAGAAATTGAGAGTAAAAAAATTTTATCAATTGGGAATTCCCACTTCCTCTTTGTACAATCAATTCGACAGACGGTGAGAATTTTCCCAAAATACGCGAATTATTCTAATGACAAACGAGCCATTTGCATATCTTTACATCTGAATGATTCCGCGGTACGTGAAAAAGAGACAAAGAACGAATGGGACATGAACCTTGGTTGTCAAGCACTCAGTTAACTGTAGATGCGATAAGCATTCGTATGTGTCTGTGTGCATGTGACTTTAAACACATGCGCCCTTTATTATTCGGCGGAATGGAACTCGGTATAGGCTTTGTTGATTTATATTTAGATTAAAGTTCCTCAAGGTTGAGGATGGTGAGTCTTCCCGAAATAAAAGAGGTGGTTTCTCCTCAAGGAAAAATCCATCCAAGAGGAGAGAGTCTTTTTAAACTTTCATACGAGTTGAACAGTGAATAATGCAGGAAACTTGGTGATAAGGAGGTACTGATATGCTAATCATGTCGGTTGATTTGTGACGAGAACAATGACTCTTTCCTCTTTTTATTTTAATTTTTTGCATTTAATCAAGCAGGAAGTTTTGATTACAAGAAATGATGACAACAAGTGACTTTACATTAATGATATCCAATTGTCATAAAAATTCCCATGAAATTCCCCCCAAAATCACTGACTCACCAGTACAAAAAAATTGTTTACAATACAGTTAAATTTTTCTTCCGCCGGAATGTGCACTCTACACGCGCTAGACACGCTTTCTCATCTCAGAATTAAATTAAACTCAAGGAATGAGTAAAAAGACCCCGTAATATCCACAAAAAAACGTACGAAACTGTCATTCGATGGATGTGATTTTGCATCGAGTGGAATGCGATCACTGGAACAACGGGATCTAATAATTCCACGCGTCGAGCTCTCATGACTTCCAATATGGAGCGAAAGTGTTATGGTAATAATGAATTGAAGATAAGTCACCCAGTAAACGTAGCAATTTCAACTGGTGGAAACAATTTCGCCACCCAGAGGTGTTATAAACTATCAAAGTACATACATCGGAAATTATGAAATATCAGTGGATGTTATCAGGTCATCTTGCCCTATCTGCTTCACCTTGGATGGTTATCGGATTATAGGGTCTCTCAAGGTCAACCTATAAATGTAACAATCTATTTTTGTTCCAATAAAAGAGCGGACGGAAAAACCAGGGAGAATATTAACTTTCCCATGAAAAGAAAAAATCACTTCCATTTTTTTCTCACTCGAGAACATGACGAGACGGAATTTCCATCCAGAATTGATAAACTACAGTCCATTTTGCCCCATTACTTACTGAGATGCAGCCGAAGAAAAATGTTTGAACCGTCGAAATAATTTTTTTTGCGATATCTCAGAAAGTATTGGGGCAAAATGGACCGGCTTTTTTTCAATTCTGTAAGAAATTTTTCGGATTTTTTCAAAACTATTTTCCACTTTCGATGGCATCATCCCCGAACAAGTAATGAATGCTCATCACTATCTTAAATACCTTCAGAACGCGTTCTGTTCTCCGGGGACACACGTGGCATTCACGACTGCGCGGCGCTTCTTCGGGGTGTTATGTCGCGAAATACATCGGCGTCGGCTCAACGAATTGAGGGGCGAGAGATGGGGGGGAGGGGGGGGGA